CATTAGTCGAATCTACTGCTAAATAACCCAAACACTTAAGCAAAGATTGCTTAGAGCAAAGCAAAAATGAACAATGAAAAGGAAAAAACAAGAGATGGGTGCTCAAAGTAAAGAGAAGAGAAAATTAGTGAATGTTAACTTATATTCCTCAAAGTGACGATGACAAATGAATGGGGAGAGGCTCATTTTATAGCTGGAGTCCCTTACATCCAACGATTACGATTGAATTACATCAATGGTCCAGAAGAAAGCCTACTCTATCTAAAACTCTAATTTATATCATTTTTAAAAGGATAACTACAACAGATAATTGTGGGATTTATCTACAAGATAAATAAGAAATTATCATGCCTTATCTCTTTATCCAAATGAGTGGCCCAACTCCTCTGGGTCTTTTGAAAACTCTTATGGATCTTCTAGAAGGCCCAAAACGTGGCAAAGAATAAAGCTTTGGGCAACTTTGATCGCATTTTTGTCGATCTTGGGCTCGTGGTCTGTAACAAAATCATATGATTTCCTTTTTTATACTATTTAAGTATACTTTATAATTTATATTTAATTTTTTTTAATTTCAAGTTGATATTCGAGTATTTCACTTAAACTTTTGATAACTCATTTTTTTTAATAATCTGAAGTAAATACAAGACAATATTTGTTTATATATAATTTCAATCATTTGATATTAAACTCTTACACCCCTGTCATTCCCGAACCCGAGACCTCAAGTAATAATATCATTTCATTTATCATTAAGGTCACTTGGTTCGTGCTTGATAACCCGAGTTAGCCCAATGATCGGGGGAATGAAGTTTGTGTGATCTAGTGTTTAATTGGAGAACTAAAGAGATAATTTACGCTTTTGTTCTTTTGTAGTTGATTTAGTTTGTTTAGACTGAAATTGTGGAAACAAGTAGCTTAACCAATTTTGTTTCAGCACATTTCTTAATTAAGATATTGTTACAAATATGTGACATCGTGGTTAAAATAGAAACTAAGATTTAATATAGTTTGGTATGATAATGATTTTTAATTCTTGAAATTTATATATTATATTAATTTTATTTTAATTTAAAATAATTCAATAAATTTAAGTCTTCAGATTTAAAAATTAATCATTTTTTATAACACTGTCAAATCAAATATTCCACCGTATCAAAATAGAAATCGAATAAATGCTTATGAAACAAATCAATAAGAAGTTGTTGTTGATCTGTTATTATGTAGAGAAATAACATGAAAATATAACACTTATGAGAGAGAAGAAGAACCAAAATACTAAATGATAGAAATTTTAAATATAAATGACTAATTTTTTAATTTTTTTAAAATAAGATCAAATTGATATTATATCAGTTCATATTTACCATTATTGACATATTTATAATAATATATTAATTGAGTGGCTTGTTTGTAACTTTTAAAAAGAAAAAAATGACCTAAATGTTATAAAAGTTATAATTAAGTGATATCGGATGTATTTTTACCCTTGTTAAATTTGCTTAAATTTGGACAGTCAAAGTCAAAGCTGCAAAGCGACAGTTGCTGTAGGAACCGCAAAAGGAAGGGATAGAAAAGGGAGTTGAGACCGTGTCAGGTTCGGTGCGGTTGGGAAAAGGATGACCATTGTCACAGATAGGATGGCACGGGTCAGATTTGGGTCGAGTTTCGATCAATTGGACTTGAATTTGATCTGATTATTTGAGATAAAATTTGAATTTGATTCAATCTAAATTGAAATAATATATTTATTAAAAAATATTATTTTATTCAATAAAAACAATATATAAGGTAAAATTAAACATCGAAGCGAGGTATTCATTGGTGCTCCTGAGAGAAGCTGAGCATTTCAAAGGAGAAGGGGTATGGGCTTTCGTGATCTCGGTAAAATTTAACATCGTTTTACTGGCTAAACGGGGATGCAGACTCCTTCATCATCCTGACGCTCTTGTGGCGAGAGTTTTTCATGCAAAATATTATCCTTCCTCGACTTTCTCGAAGGCGACCCTAGGGGCAAATCATTCGTTGATTTGGAGAAGTGTTTGAAGCAGTAGAGGTCTCCTAGATTCTGGATTGTGTTGGAAAATTGGGATTGGAAGTTCAGTGTCCATTGGGAATGATTTTTGGTTGCCAGACCCGGGTCAAAGGAGGGTTAAAACGGATCCAGTCGAAGGATTAACGATGGTGGCAGACTTATTAAATCAGGATGACAGATCATGAAACATTATTCTGCTGGAATCCAAATTCCAGACTGAAGATGTCCTGCGCATTTAAGGATTCGTATTTCCTCGGTTGTAACGAACGATGTGCAAGTGTGAAGTGGGGAGAAACTAGTATTTACGCTGTCCGAAGTGGTTATAAGATGCTTTGTGCTTCCCAGGAGTTGGATGTGGATTCTAAACAAGCTTTCACTCAGCTGTGGCAACAAGAATGTCCAATAAGGTGTGCATTTTATTATGATAATTATTTCATAATTATTTGCCTACCTTTCACAACCTTTATATTAAAAGAATTGCCTAAAGCTACTACCGTCTTAGATGCCCCAAGCGATTGAATCTAATGTTCTGTTTGTCGTGATTGTCCCTATGCAATTCGAGTCTGGAGGGGTTTAGCCGTTTAGGTTTTGATTGGACTACTTTTACAGGCCACACAAATTTCATAGATTGGTTTCTATGAGTTTTGCAGATGTCAACAAAGAATCAAAGATTTTCTATATTTGCATATGGGCTTTGTGGTTCTCTTGAAACAAGTTGGTTCGCGAAGGTAAGAATCAAAGTGCTAAGGAAGTTATATATTTTGTTAGGAGTTACTTGACTGATTTAAATGCTTTCTACGTCTGAAGCTCGTTGGTTACCTCATGTCGACCTATTGTGAAAATCAACGTGGACTCCAGTTTTCTCGCATCAAATGGAGAATGCATCAGGTGGTATTATTAGAGATTTTCTGGCGAAATATTAGGCTGAGTTGTCGAGTGACTTACCTGGTTGATTCGGCATTTGCAGCGGAAGCACTGGCTTTTTTGCACGATCTGTTTCGCGTAAGAAATGGGTTTCAGGCGAGTCATAGTCGAAGGAGATGCTTTATCTATTATAAAACACATAAAATCAAACGATTTAGATTTCTCATCCATTCGTCCTTTCATAATAGACATCAGAGAGAATATCAAAGAATTTGAATGTGCCATTTCAATTTGTCCAAGAAATACAAATAAAGCAGCGCATGCTTTAGCGACAATTGGGATTAAGGAAACACTGACCAGTTCTGGATCGAAGGAGCTCCTCCGGCCGTCCTTGTGGCAGCTGCAGACGATCGCCGACTGGTAGACCCTCCGTGACTCTTTTTAGAGGAGGTTCTCGTTTCTTTCCCGCTCTTTGAAGGGTATTTTACTGTTTTGTAACCCCTTCCAGCCTTCTTCATGCTTGAGCTATCATCATCAGTTTTTCCAAGAAGCAGAAGGTGGATCGCCGTGTATTTGGGTTTTTTAGTCTTCTCTTTCTTTAGTTTTGTTCTGTTTTCTTTTGTTGTTTTCAGTTTCTTTTGTGCCGTCATTTTTGTTTTTGTTTCGCTTAACTGCCTGAGTATGTGTTTTGTCTTGGGCCTTGTTGGATTTTTCCCTTTTGTTTTTTTTAATAAATAACGCAATGACATATTACTTAAAATATATATATATATATCTGGGTTGGTCCAATAAATTTTAATGTATGGGCGAGATGATAATTTTATGCCCTTATACTTGTACCGTATAATAGACAAAACATAAATAATTTTTTAAAACAAAATGTAATAGAAATAGTCAAACTAATACAACCAAAACCTACAAGACTACAAATAGCACCTAAAACGATGCCTTCGTGCATTTTTTTAAACAAAACCTCTATTATTTTGCGATAATCAAACTTTGTAAAAATTGACTTTCGATGCTTAGAATTGCTAATCGTTCAATCTATCTTGAGTCTCGTGTTTTCGAAGATAAGATTTCAAGAGTTTCAATTTTAAAAAACTTCTTTCCGTTGAAGCAACCGTAATAGTACCGTCAACAAAATTTTATATGCTATCAACACATTAGGAAATATTAACTTTTTTGGATTTTCGAAGGGAGAATTGATTAAGTACCGTCTGACGTCTACACTTCTAAGGGATAATTAATTTTTTTGGATCGGCAATTAGGTGTTTTGGGCTATTTTTTTGGGCCAAATATATATACACATATAAGTACTAGAAAACTGATGTCCCCCTCAAACATGTTGCCCTGGGTTAAGGTCTATCTGGCAAATGTATTGGGTCGGGCCTGTATATTTTTAATCAGATCATATCAAGTATTTTCACTCTAAACTAAAATCCGATCCAACCAGAACATAATATCTAAAAGAATTTAACCCAAACTTATTTTTTTAAAATAATCGACCTGATCAAATTAAATCGAATCAGAACCCATCAGATCCGATCATGTACCCATCCCTAGTCACGGGACAAAACCCAATATTCTTTTCATGTCGGTTCACACATATTGGACTTTGGATTTAAGGGTTACAAGGTAAAATATCTTTTTAATATATGGTTCTATTACTTAGTCAAACTTATTTTATTTTCTTACTCTACAATTATTTCATATTTTTTAAAAAATTAAGAGATACATAATTTTTTCGATAAATTTTAAAATTTTTGATATTATCTCGAGAAAAGAGAAAGAGAAACTTTTGAAGAAGGAAAGATTGTTCGTAATAGGACTAAAAATCATAACTTCAAATAATATAAAAACAAAGATGATATAGTCAACCGACTAATGTGTTTGGTGTAAATATAAAAAATAGATATAAAACGACCCACAATAATAATAAAATCGATCATTGCAAGACCTAAATTTAATCTAATTCGAACATGCGTTGACTTCATTAGATCACGCGGTTATTTGACAATTGGATCTTCAATGTTCCAATTCTATTCGAGCTTTAAGCTTCAAAGAATATTTTGAGTGTGCTAAATTATGAAATATTCTAAGAACAATGTGTATGGTGATCATAGTGAGGTAGGTCGAGAATCAAATGACGTTAAATATTCTAATTTCATCTTTAAACCATGACTCTTATTTTAAATTGATTCTCGAACTTTCAAATATTTTAAATTATCTATAAACTATGGATCTTATTCTAAACTGGTCTCCAAAATTTTGAAGTCCCAATAATCTCCTTCAAAATCATTCAAAAGTTAAGAATAAAATCGGAGCTTCAAAAGGTTGAGAACCACATAAGACGAGAGTTAATTTAGGGATGAATTTGGAATGTTCAAAAGTTTAGTAACTAATGTAAAAGAAGTTATAATTTGGGAATATATAGTGCAATTAACTCACATAATTATAAAGTGAAATTAAAAATTCTTTTAGAAGATAAAAATTAATAATTGAACTTCACTATCGACACTTTCAATGTTGTTGGTTAAATAAAAAGCTTACCCTTTTTTTCCATATGTAATGGGGTAAGGGGGAGTATGATAATAGACTGCCCCAACGTCAGGTTAAGAGCGCTTCCGTGAGATCTCCGAATTATAAAATCCCATGACTCGATCTCACGACCACAAGATTAGAGCCTTGTGCTCTACAAACTGAGCTGGACGGACATTTGTTGTAGATGTTTAATTATTTGTATTTAAATATTATAAATTTAGTATGGTCCAAGTATTAGACATAATCAGGTGGTCTAAGCAAGCCCGAAACATCACGTAACGTCTTAAGAAATTAATCACACATGTTTTAGTCCTCGATTCATGGTGCGTGACATTCTCCCCATGAAATCTAACAACGCCCCATCGTGTCTTAAGAAAGAACTCAAATTGAATGATTTGGATATCCTCAATACCTTGGTTTGCTCCCAACTTCTCCAAATTGGTTTGTCCCTTTAAAGACCGTTCATCCTAGTCTATCCACCATGTAACATCATATTTGTGTCGTGTCATTGTGTACATTTCATTCGTGTGAGCTTCCTTTTATTAATCTTGACATGTCTTGTCTTATTCTTACAAATTTTTAAAAACTTCGTATATTAATGTATTACCAAAAGTACTCACTAAAAGGTTAGGTCTACCCCAACCTACACCTAACCTTTTAGTGAGTACTCGTGTGATTTTGATCGCTCAAATATGTTATTTAAATACAGTAACTTAATAGATGTATCAAATTGAAAAGAAAAAAAAGCTTGAAGGGCCTTATTTGATGACGTATAATTAGGGGCCAAATCGTTACTTAATCTTTTATATATTTTTCGAGTTAATTACATTTATGTCATCAAAGGATGACCCTCAATTTAAACTGGTCGAAATTTTAAATGTTCCAATTTCATCCCTAAATTCTTATTAATTCTAAATTAGTCCTCAATCTTTTTAATATTTCAATTTCATCTCCAAACTATGACTTGCATTTTAAATTGGTCCATAATTATTTTAACATGCCAATTTCATCCCAAACTATATGCATATAATAATCACATCCATTGTTAATAAAATTATTAGTCCAAGGTATTTTATAACATGTTTTTAAAAAACCAAATTTAAGTTAAACTATAGTTGAAATTAATTACATGTTTGGATGAATTTGGGGATGGAATTGGAATATTCAAAAGTTTGGGGGTCCAATTTCAAAAGAGAGTTACATATAGGGACTAAATTAAAATTTTCAAAAGTTTAAAGACTAATTTAAAATAAAATAATTATGGGATGAAATTAAAATATTTAAAAGTTTAAGGTATAATTTCAAATGAAGGTTATAGTTTGGGGACATATGATACAATTAACTCATAGTTTCCCTTTAATCATTATGGGCTAGTTTTGGCCCACGAGAGTCTTCAAAATTAATAGCCCACAAATAGGGATGGCAAAAAAACCCGAATCCGACGGGAAAAATCGAAAACCGAATTAAACGGGCCGGGTTCGGGGATGATAAACGGGGATGGGGACGGGGACGGGAAAAACCTATTTATTTTAAACGGGGACGGGTTTGGTAATCCCCGCCCCGATTACCCGCCCCGATACCTGACCCGATAAATATTAAAAATAATTTATATATATATATATATAATATTAATAAATTTAATTTAAATAAAAATATTATTTAATTTAAATATATATAATACCCAGCCCATTCCCCCCAATGACTCAATACCCGACCCAATACCCGGCCCAATACCCGTTTAAATAACCGTTTGTGCTAAACGGGATACCCGTTTCCCCGCGGTTTTCCCCGATTACCCGACAGGGATCCCCGGGGACCAATACCCGGCCCGTTGCCATCTCTACCCACAAAGGACCAAAAACCATCCGATGGTTGACCCACAGGACAAAGTAATAGGTCGAGATTCGTTCATCCCATGAATTCGCCCACACACGATTCTACCACCACCCAACTCAACTCAATTAGATCATCTCACTCCGAGTTCCGGTTCTTTGTTCATCGCAACAGATGTGACACAGTGCGCCGCCAGAATCCGACAACAAGAAAAGGAAAAAATAAAAGATGTTCCTCCGATTGGTCGCGCGGCGTTGTTGGCCCGTACCCGAGGAAAGGGCTACACGTAAGGCCACCGCTGAAGCTTCACGTGCCACCGCTTGAAGGTATGCCAAGAGGAAGAAGACTGGGAAATGATCGAGAAGCGCCTCGGATGCGGCCAGGTCGAGGAGCTCATCGAGGAAGCGCGTGACGAACTCACTCTTATCGGGAAAATGATTGGTATGTACCCATTTCATCTCTCCTTTTTCGCTTTTGTTTTAAATGTATGCGCCATTTTAGGGTTTGTTCTTTGTTTATGATTGGTTTAGTCTTTCTGCAAGCAAATTTGGGTCAATGAGAGCTGGTTATTATTTTACTTAACCAATGTTGCATATGGAAAATCTGAAATTCTGTTAATAAGAAGGGGTTTGAATTGATTAGCCATAATTTAATAATTGACACGGGAATTGGAATGAATTTGATTCGAAAGTAAGATAGAAATTGACTTGGTATCAGCTAAGAATACTCGGGTGGAGGGCCGAAATCGAAATGGTTGTCGGCTTTTGGAGATCGGAGAGGGATATATACATCAAAATTGAGATAAATATTCATTTTTTCTTCAGTTAATGTTAATCATTTTATCTATGCATTGAATTGTGAATGTTCAGCAATCACCTCACTCTTCAAAACTGGGCTTGTTTATATGTGAATCCTTACTTTGCAGGAGTTAGACTGGTGTTATTTCGTGTTTCTTCTGATTTGCATTGTTTGTATCCCTAGCGTATAGTTAGTTCTAGTAACTTGTATTCAAAATTTATCAAGGTGTTTATTTTTAGTCGCAGTTGTCAATTATTCCGGCCTACTCCATGTCAGGGTGTTTTCTGGGTTCCAGTATTTTATTAGTTGGAACTTCTAGAGCTGTTTGATGTGCTGTAATCTGTTATCTAATGCCCAGTAAAGCCTCCTCTGTTGCAAGCTTTATATGAAGTGAATTGCAAGAAAACTTCTGATGTTGTGCATTTTCCGAACATTGACATGCCATGCTACACCATGTTGGTTGCAGAGTGGGATCCTTGGGGTGTTCCCGAAGACTATGAATGTGAGGTTATCGAAAACGATGCTCCAGTTCCCAAGCATGTTCCTCTGCACCGTCCCGGTCCTCTTCCGGAGGAGTTCTACAAGACGCTCGATGCCCTTTCTAAAAAGGACGAGCCTAAAATCACCTCTGGGGAGCCACAGATAAAGGAGTAAAAGCAAGCTGAAGGCATTTTGGCTGGAGACGCTTTGTTTTTCAAAGTTGAAGATTGCATTTTTCTAATCACGCTTTTGTTTACGTTTCTTTGATGGAACAGAGTTTAAACCCTAAAGACAAAGACTGGAACCAGTTGCCAATAATGTTAATATGCTTTGGGTCCCAAAAATTCTGTTGGCCTCTGCTATTTTCTCCATCTTTCAGAAATTTATCCAAAACTGTCCTTTATTTATGATTTTTATTTAGCTAGAATTTATTAATAACATTAGTATTTATAGTTTGCTTTTAAAATAATATAAACACTTTCATGTATTTAAGGCTGCTAAGGTTTGAGCTTGAATCCAGTTTGAATTTGAATTTCAATCGAACTAAATCTGAAAATGTTTCGAGTCCAAGTTTTTTCAAGGTTGAGTGAAACTTCAATTTTTAATATAAAATCTTACATCAAATATTAACAACGGTTAAGTTAGAAGCAAAATTAATTAACATTGAATCTAAACCTTTGTTGGCAGTGAAGCATAAAATCTTATGTATTTAAGACAATGTGCCCTACAACATGAAACTATGCTTCAATTTGTTCTAAATTATCAATGAAACTATGCTTTAATTTGTTCTTAAATATCAGTTTTAGTAGTACGCAAGGCAAGCTCTTGCTCAACTCAGCACACAATGTCGGGTTGTGAGAGAGTTCTATGTAGTAAAATTTGACGCGATAAATAACTTGGTCGATAAGGCTCTAAGGCATCATCTCTTCTCAGCTAGGTATTTTTTAGAAAATACTTGTTTGGGTCCCAAGAAGATGAACAAATGCAACGCAATGCTGTTATTTCCTTGATTTTTTTTTCATTTTCAAGGTTTCCGACTAAGGCTCAACTCGTACGAGCTTCCATAGATTCTTCTCAAGGTAATCTCCAAGAAGAACTTGTTTGGTTCTCAAGAAAATAAAATAAAACACTACATAACGTTGTTATTTATTAGCTTTATCTCATTTTCAGGGATAGAGGCTCAACTATTGAATGTTTCTATCTCACAATATACTCTCTGATAACTAAATAACACTATGTTTTAAAGGTGATCTCCTTAACTATCTCTATTTACTTATCTATTGTCTTAAAAATTCTAAACATTTAATATTTAAACAAATATAAGAAAGAGAGCCAAAATGTTGAAAAGTGAATAACCTTTTCTCTCTCTCTCACTTAATGTCTATTTCTTTTAAAAAGTTAGGTTTCTATTTGGTCTTAAAATGTTAGATTACTGTAAAAACTGAGTTAAATTTTTCAACATAATCTAAAAAGATACACTATTATTATCTTGATGACATCTATTGTTTTACTAATAAATTTGTGTTGCTTGTGGGATACCTACATGAGACTATTAGAATATGAAGCTCCCATTTAGTATGAAGAAAGTCTCTATCCTACTCATGAAAATCAGACATTCATCGAGATGATGTTCGATAAGCATTGTTTAGTTATTATTAGATTTTTTTTTTCAAAAATTTTACTATGAGGTGTCATTAAATTGAGATTCGATATGAGTTGTTAATTATTGAACATCATCTTCCAATTTTTGTGATTTTCTAATTGCATATATTGATGGTGTCATTTGCCGGAGATGTATGCGTCTTCGCTTGATTGGTTCTCTCTTTCTGAACGCTTTGTTGTCGTGTATTGAAGAAATATTTTATCCTATATTGGACTTATAAGATATGACTAACACTACTTTTATGAATTTAAGTAACCTTCAAATGCAATAAGAACTTAAAAGAACACTTTGATTAATAAAAAATGCAATTACAATATTGCACCATTATCTCGTTACTTTTCTCTTCTCTACTTCTAAGTTCTCTTTCTCTAATTTATATTTTTGACAAAATTTTTTCTCTTTTACGTTCTTACTACAATGGTAAAACTCACTCTATTTATAGATTTTAGTGATCGTTGGATTATTGACACATAGCAATATCTTAGTAATTGAACATTACAAATATATAAATTTTGAAAGTTTTTATACTAAAACGGACCAAAAATAAAAGTTTAAGTACTAAACGCGTTAAGTTTTTAACGATGGGTACAAAAATGAAATAAAAACTAAATGTTATATATGATTTTTAAAAAAAATTAAAAGTTTAGGTATTAAAACGGATCAAAATTGATGTTTAGGTACTAAATGCGTAGTTTACCCAAAAATTAATTAACCTCCACATGAGCACTCCCCTTTTCTAAAGGAATGCAAACGGCTACCCTCTCTTACAATTATTTCCCTGTCAACCATATGTGTTACAAATTTTATGAAGCCATGGCAGTCTCTGCAGATACTACTGTTCTTAATTATATGTATAGGAGCCTTAGAAGGTGTATTTAGAAGACCAAATGCTACTGCTAGCTTCTCGCCGTGATGATACGAGTCGCTAGTTCTCATGCCCCGACGTAGATATCCATGATTCTTAAACTCGGCCTCGAATGATTCGATTTTCTCATAAATTTCATTCGTCTGTGGATGAGACCTTTCCCCTGAGACGAATAGGTGAACTTTGTTCTGAATCTCCACCCAGCTCTGGCTAGGATTCTTCCTCAATTGTTTTTCCCTCATCAATTTGAGTGTCCTCTCGACTAAGTCACCTCGACCGGAGTCCTCGTACAAGTTTGCTAACAGTATATAGAATGCTGGATCCGATGGGTCGAGTTCAAGGCCTCGTTTTGCCATATCTTCGGCTAGAGTTATATTTCTATGTGCCTTGCAGGATCGCAGTAAGGTCTTGTAGATCAAAGCATTGGCTCTGCAGGGCATTGTTTGTATCACTTCCAGAGCCTCTTCTAGACGGCTGATTTGTCCCAGTATATCGACTAAGTGAACATAGTGATCCAACTGTGGCACTATATCATATATTTCACTCATGGATCGGAAATGCTCGAGACCGAGATCGACTAGTTTACCGTTACTGCAAGCTGAGAGCACTGACAAGAATGTAATAGCATCGGGTCTAACTCCTGATAATTTCATATCATCAAAAGCAGAGAGGGCAGAGGAAATGTACCCGTTCGACGCCAATCCAGATATCAACCCATTCCATGAAAAAGTATCCGGCACTGCAATCTCCCTGAAGGCTCTTTGTGCATCGTGTACGCATCCACATTTTCCGTACAAGTTTACAAGCCCATTTAAAACAGAAACCCACCTGCACAAACCGAATTTTACTGAATGACAGTGAAGTTGCTTTCCGGTAACCACTGTGCCCAAGTCGGCTGACGCAGATAGGAAGCTGGCCGTACTGAATTCATCGATCCTTATATCATCATTATTCATATCAGTGATAATGTTCAATGCCAACTCATGACGACCCATTTGATTCATTCTTGAGGCCAAAGTAGTGTATGTGATTGCATCTCTACAACTCATCGTATCAACTATTCGCCATGCGTCATCTATAAGCCCAGATCCGGCGTAAAAATCTACAAGAGCATTCTGAACAACCGTATCTTTATATAAGTTTGTTTTAACAACATGTCCATGTAGCATTAGTGCCTGAGGAAGCAATTTTGCAGCATTGAAGGACCCAATGATGCTAGAGATGGTAAAAGAATTTGGTTCCACTCCTGCTGCTCTCATTTCTGTAAATAAGCGAAACGAATCGTGTTGGAGACCATGTTCAGAAAAACCTGCAATCAAAGAGGTCCATGAAATGACATTCGGTAAGCTTATTCCTCTAAATACTCTCAGCGCATCATCGACCTTATCAGAGCATTTGACATACATGTTGACAAGAGCATTTCCAACCGAAACATCATCCTCGAAACCAGCCACTACCACCCTCGAGTGAACCTGTTGCCCAAGTTCTAGACACAACATCAATGAGGAAACATTCAAGATGCTCGAAAATGTATAATTATTCGGTATAAAACCAGAGACTCTCATATCACGAAATGCAGCAACAGCCTTTCGAAACATGAAGTTTTGTGCAAACCCAGAAATAAGAGAAGTCCATAACAAGTATCGTATTTGGGAGTTGAATTTGAGACTTTTATTGCATCTTCAATCCTTTGACATCTCGAGTACATATCGACCAAAGCCGTTTTCAATACCACATTCAACTTGACTCCCCACAATATCATGTGAGCATGAACCAATTTCCCATAGCTTAAACCATGGACACCACAAGCTCCCAAAAGCTTCACAAAAGTAAACTCATTTGGAGTAAACCCAGCCTCGACCATATCGACATAAAGTCGCAAAGCCTGACTCCATCGCCGAGCTTGAACACATGAAGAGATCATCATTGTCCAAGAAACAGTATCATGATTCCCCTTATCAATAAACAAGTTAGAAGCTTCAACTATTAAATCAAAATTGGAGTAAAATCAATCAATCCGCTGACCAAAACTGGATTCATATCAAACCCTTGCTTATCATACAACCTTGAATGCAAGTCCCATACCCAAACTCTCCCAATGCCGAACATGAACGCAGCACACTCGACAATGTAAACTCATTCGGGCATTGCCCGGATATCAGCATAGAATCGTAAAATCGAAGGGCCATTTCATGGTTTCCGCTCTTGGCATAAGCCGATAGGATCGCAGTCCAAGACACGACATCTTTCTGCGGCATTTCGTCGAACAAATGGCGTCCTTTGTCCACTCCAAAGCATTTTATATACAGAGACAAGAGGGTGTTGTTCAAATATAAATGGCGTTGAAGACCCAGTTTTACTATGGGACTGTGAATGTACGAACCTTCTCTGAAAGCGTTGGAGTTGCAGAATGATAGGATTCTCGAACATGTTTCTTCCAAAAATGTTGTTGCTTCGCTTCTGTTAATGACCCTGTTTGCCGTCTTGTAAAGCATAAGCATTAATAATATGGAAGCAAATTCTTTGGGGGGTGGGAGGAATTTTGAAACTAATGCTTATTCGAAACTGGAGCTCTCTTGTTTACGAGATTATAATAGATTCGATATTGGTTCTGAAAGCAACGAGTTTTACTGCTTGAAAGCGTCATTTTCCTTCGGTCTCTACCTGGTCTTAACTCTTAACACTTCTACGTGATTTACTAATGGTTAATTACATTATTAATCACTTATACCATCGTTCACTACGAATTAATTATCATTAGCAATTAAAAGATTAAGAGATATTTTTAATTAAAAGATTAAATTTATTAAAATTATAATTAAATTGAGAGAATATATAAATAATAGATTTTGGAGAAGTGGTAAAATCTTAAATTATAATATTAGCACATTGGGCAATTTAAAAATGATGTCAATTTTGGGAGAAAAAAATATTTTCTTTCTTTTAAGATGTTGGTCGGAGAATAAAACAAAGAAACATGATGTGGGAGCAATAGATACATAACAAATCTGGGAGAAGTGAACACTACTGGCAGGTTCTCTTTATGTATGTGATCAAATCTGATCTTGATCATTCTACACGGGCGAATAGGACTGTCGGGAACCTGTTGTATAGCTGAAGTTTCTCATCGGTTACGTCAAGTAAATGAAAGAGCATATGAACCGGGTTTTGAGGAAATCAAACGTGAGATCGACGAATTTCGATCAGGCATGAGACTCTTAGAATATGAAACCCGCAGATGGTTTGAAGTATGTCTTCCTCTCGACCTTGGTTCCGCAGCATTCGCAGAAATGATGATTCTCGATGGATGCTTCATTGTTCAGCTAATCTGCTTGAAGGGTTTTAAAGAAAGTATTTTCGCAGCGGAGCGTATTCGAACGGACATGCAAAATGATTCGAAAACCAACTACCGTTCTTTGTGATTTTCGAGTTGTATAAAATGATAGTACTGGATGCCGGAGAAATCAAGGAGTTTGCTAGGTTGGTTCTTTCTTTCTTCGACTTGTCTCACGGTCCCTTACCTAGGAAAGAGTTCATCCATCTGCTAGACTTAGTACATTGCACTCATCTTCCTTCACCCCAAGGAATACGACAATACAGGAATTTCAAATCAAATTCCCAACGTTCATGGAAGTCCATACAATTGTGCTCGAAGACGCTTGAAGACTTTTATTATGCTGAGATATTTGATAGTGTGAAATTGTCGGACAAATGGAAGGCATCATTGAAGAGAAACTATTTCAAGTATTTCAACACTCCCTGGTTGCTGCTATCTTTTTTTCACATGCTTAGTAGGATCGGAGATGGCACTCGTTCTTTTTTTTCTCTCGGCGCTCATTAGCAGGCCTGATGAATTCTGAGATTTTGGATCTTGATTCTTCCCGTGCCATATTCTTTTCTTCTTTGTGGTTGATCTTACTTTTGGTTCTTGGTTGATTATGTTTGATCCTTCAATGGGTGGGACTGAGCAAAGGAAGTTATTTGCGGCTGCTGAGAAATAAACCTTACCTTTCTTCTGTTGGCTTAGGAAGATTCGATCACTGTAAAACTTCTCCCGTCAAGGTTAGCCTCGTCAGTCCAAACTTGTTTGTTTTTTCGCTTATCAATTCGACTGCTAGAGATTGGATGCTTGAGAATGGATCGAGACACATTTAGAATAAGCTTATTTCAGGTAAAAGGAGTTCAGGATGAAGAAAGGGATGAGACAAGGGGATCCAATATCCCTCTTTTTGTTTATCTTAGTAACATAGGTGATGGAAAAAATGTATTATTTTGGTTGGATTTTTGGGAGGGTGAAAAAACATTGGTTGTTTTATTTCCAAGGTTGTTTAGACTGGTGATTAAAAAAGATTGTAAAGTGTCTGAAGTGGCTGTAAAAGGTATCTCATTGAAGTAGATTGGTTGTCGTTATTCAGTCGTAGTTTGTTGGATCGTGAATTAAAAATGGTTGAAGATATTAAATCAATGGCAAGTGAAATTTGTTTACATGTTGATGCTGATGATAGAATCATTTGGCTGCTCGATCGAGCAGGGAGATTTTACTGAAATGAGAGCCTTCATTTGGATAAAAGCACCTAAAGAGTTGGTGTTAACAGAAGAAAACGAATGGTGGGATAATCCTCGTTTGTATATTTATTTGGTTCAAGAGCCCTTTCCAGATTAGTATTATCCACAGCAAGGAAGTGTGATATTTGTGATTGATGGTGTGTCCGAGATGGAGATGGTGGGGTGTGGGGGAGTTCTTCAGTGTGAGGATGGTTACATTCAAGCTCTTTTTTATGGTCCTGTAAAGAATTTGGGTACAGATTGTGCAAAGTTATTGGCAAAAGTTTGCTTTGGAAGTGTTTAGAGAGACTGAATGGAATGGAAAGGTCGCTCTAGATATTGAAATCGATTCAAAAGTAATTTTCAATTGGTTGGGGGATATTTTACTACGACCTTGGTCCTGGTGGAATGTTTTTGATGAGATCGACAGATTATCGGGGCTTATTGGAAGAGTTAAATTATGTTTTACGCCTCGCTCACATGTTGGCATGGCTAATAATCTTGCGAAAGCAGGAATTAAGAGACGCGATGTTTTCAAAGCTTGTTTGTAATACCCCGAAACTCGGGTTGGTAGTTTGGGTCAATCTGAAACCTTTAAGTCAAGCCAGTTAGACCTCTCAAGATAGTTGGACCAAGTTATATAGGTGTTAGGCCTAAGGTATGCCCAAGAGTTAAAGGTAAGAGATAGTTTTAAAGTGAATAGGTGAAGGACCTAAAGTGTAGTTTACCCATTTTGTTGAAGTTGAAAACTTTCCCCCCTTTTTATATCTTTTGACGTAACCAAAGTCCCCATAATATCTCACCCACTCTTCTTATTCTTCATTCCATTAGTTTTTATTTCTTCTTCTTTTCAAGAGCTAAATTTCAAGCATTCTAATCTTAGATTTGTTTAGCCAAGGTAAGAATATTTCTCTCCATCCTTCAAACTTTGTTTCAAGCTTCATTTTGCGAGTTTTAGAATTTGTTTTTAAAATGGATTTTTGGGAGTTTGAAAGGAACCTAAAGATTTAAGCTTGTTTTGAGTAATATTAAGTAGTATAGAGTGTTTTAACTTAGTTTCCAAGTCAAAGACAAGTTAGTAATCCCTAGTTTTGTTTTGATTAGCCAATGAGGTGGGTGAAGTTCTAAAGAAAATGATAAAGGTAAGGTAACTCCCAGTTGAGTTGAGGGAGATTTTAGCAACCAAGGAGGCCAGGTAATATACTATCAACTCTTCCACACTCCTAGTGATCATTAGAAATGAGTTTAAGCTTGAGAGTAAGTTATGAAGCTTAGTGTTATATGTTAATGGTAGATTACATGATTTATGTTAAAAGCATAATATAAAGCCTTATGTATGCTACTTGTAATCACATAATACTTTAAAGAATGTTTGGGGACCTCACTAGGGTCTTTGGGATTGAAATATATCATTTTTCATATGTGTTTTATGACTTCAGCAGGTAGAGTATCGATACTTGTTCTTCGTTTTGGGAAAATTTGTGAGTTTCTGGGCAAGAGTATCGAAACTTTGGGTCATAGTTTAAAAGTATCGAAACTTTTACAAGAGTATTGATACTCTTGGGCTAGTATCTATACTTTTAGTTTTGGACAAAACGTTGCCTGAGAGGCCCTAGACCCATAGTATGACCATAAATGAGATCGAATTGGTGTAAAACATTAGAATAAGTATTATATAAGGTGTTTAAAGTTGGGTTAAAATGGATGAAATAGTTGTAGGGGTATCGATACCTTAGGTAGGGTATCGATACTGCTGAGAGAGTATTGATATTGTAAGGACAGTATCGATACCAAGGGTATGGTTTGAGTTTTAAGTCAAGAGAAAGTATAAAGGTAAGTGAGGTTTCCCGAAAGCTTATAATTTCTCTCGAATAAGACTACAAGTGATAACTTGTATTAATGTTTAATCCAAACGTAGAAACAAGAATAAAAATAGAATCAAATAAGACTAGCCTTGGTTAAATGCTTGGACACCCGAGTTCCTTTAGAAAAGATAAAAGAGTCGAAAGTATAAATTCAGTTCTGATATCCTTAGGGAGTGCGCAAGGCACTTTAAGTTGACTAGTTTGGGCGCAAGGTCCGACATTCAAAGAGTGTGCTAGTCGAGAGTGTGGTGTTCGATGCAGAGATTTCAGGGCCACATTCTCGGTAGACTAGAGGGTGTGTGAGCTTCGAAATACATAACTCTCAGTCGCACCATGATGTCTACCATATAATAAGTATACGAGTATACTCACTAAAGCATAACATAACAAACCAGTAGACCATATAACAGTAGACTTGATAGCTTGAGTATTTCAGTGATAAACTTTTACTATGTTTTAGTTGTTAGTGTGGCGGATGTTTCTGTGGGCAGATTAGTAGATTCAACAGTTGAAAAGCTTTAGAGAGACCAAGGTCCATATCCAACACAGAGCAGAGTACGCCATAAGTTTTTTAAATGGCATGTATATTCATGAATTCAATTGTATTGAGTTGTAAAGTCAGTTAAGAGTCAGTATGTAGGTATCTATATATTTTGAGGGTTCTCAGATGTAAAGAGTCGTTTTAAAGTACAAGAAAGTAAGAATAAGTTAGTTAGTCACTTCGGTGGTTCTGTATAGCACCTTAAATCGGTCGACTGTGTGTCGTACTGTCCTAATGTGTTACATTGGTGGTATGTTTTTTATGTGGTTGTCTATAGTGTTAGTATTGTTGAAGTTAGGCACCGAAATGGGGGGAAGTCAAAAAGGGGTTGTTCTTTTTTTTATTTTTTTGGCTAATGGAAGGCTTAATTTTCAAATGTAGGCACCGAAAATGGGGAAGTCAAAAGGGGGCTGATATTGTTGATTTTTTGGCAATGGTTAAATCACATATTTAGTCATTACACTTTAGGGTATCTTTCAAAGATTAGTCCCTAAGCTTCAACTATAAATACCCTAGCTCATTTAGCTTCAAAATCATCCCAAAA